AAGCTAAAGCAGACAATGTTCTGTAGAGCATTTTCATATTTGTCCTCTCCTAAATACTAAATTTAGGTGCATGTTCATTTTATTTGACAGCAGCGGTACTATTATGCAGTTCCATCAAAGCTCTCTACAAATTACAGATCAAGATGCAGTCATCCCCCTACCATGAGATATATATTATGAATTCAATCTTGTGTGACTGCAAGCATTCTTGAGAAATTAGCTACTAAAAGGTTATTCTTTTCATACCTCCGTACGCGCTTTGCATCTGCAGGGTCCATAGTCAGATTTGTATCAGTTTCTCCCTCGCCTTCATCATCATCTGATTGTTCTCCAGATGAGCCACTTGTTGTTGACTTCACCTGAGCCCCAGATTTCTTAGGCACTGCGGGCAGGGAAGATAACCCAAGTGGTCCACTGGCATCCTTATCTTGTCCCATTGATGATACGTGCCCAGCTCCTAAAAGGAGAAAAAAAAATGCCAGTAATGGTTCTTGACCTTAATAGTACACCAAGCCATTATCATCTATTCTTATCAATAGATGAACTCCTGGACAATAAGCATACATACAATGAAACTCGTGGATCATGATTTGGGGTATTGTATTATTTTAATTGTCAAAAGTCGAGGTGTTCAATAACAGAAACATATGAAAGTTCAGAAAAATGATGCAATCAAGAGGATCTGGAGAAGAATGATTGCGTACATATAAGTGAAAGACTTCGTTTACAAGCATGATTTAGGAAGCTGTGGGGAATATAAGTATATTTGACATCAGTCGGTCAATAGACAACTAATTCACCAAAATACACATCGATATTTGCAGGTGAAGCTAAGGATCATACAAAACAGATCTGAGACTCATCCTGCATTGTAAGGTAGGTTGTACTGCAAGCCTTCTACACATGCACCAATAAATATAAGAATGTTAAGGAGGTGTTGTGAAGATTGGACTGAGAGAACGTCAACCAAGAGATTCATGCACATAAATTGCGAATGTTTTTGCAGAACTAAGAATAAGTAGCATTAAATTCAACACTAATTGTTCGAAGACGAAGAGCCAAGCTCGTTAATTAAGACAAAATCACATTGCACAAATCAAGAAATGCTGCTCCATTAGTTAGTTGAGTTGAAAAGGTTTGCACTCTTAGTGTGACATTCAATCTCATATATAAATCTTCCTAATCAAAAATAACTTTGGAAACTTAGCACACAAATACCAAGCTTAGCCACCACAACAGTGACCATTTGGATGGATTGGGGATTTTGATTTGTTAATTGCTTTACTTACGATAAGTACTCTATCATTTGAAATCTTTCTGTTAGACTTTGATTAATTGAATTAGATTTACTATTACAGCATTCTCCTAGTCTTATTTTGATCCAGTTTCATTCTTTAGCGAATTGTTGATCCGTTCTCTTTCGAATCACATTTCTGTCTACATCACCCTTCCAAGCGTTACCACCTTCAACACCACCTCCTCACTAGCCCCCTTGCCCACCAAGACCCACCACCTTCAGTCGAGAAAAGCCACCCATCCACAGACAATAGACTATCTTAGCCGCCTATCATCATCTAACAACAAAACCACCTCCATTTCACATACACAACCAACAAGACCAATCAAGTGTACATACAGACACAATCAAATGCATATATATGCATGCATCTGCTGGTTTTTTGTATTTAAAGTTGTTAAACCATAAAACAATTGGGATATAATTGGAACTTTTTGTTACTCTGTGATTCCATGTGGCATAAAATAGTCGCACGTGGACGCCAAGCTGAACCCACGTATAAGGAAAGGAGCCACGTAGCCAACCAAAATGACGTTACAACAAAATAAAGACAAGATAAGTTTCGCCACAATCGCTTTGCAAGGGTGAAGCTATAAAACCACTTCTCCCTAGGTTTCATCCAGACAGGGCGAACCTTAAAATTTGCGATAAGAGATTTTTTTTTTTTTTTAAAACTTGCAATAAGAGATTGACTAGTTTTAGCCAACATGTTGAACCTTAATAAGAGAACCAATTTACATGGAATCATTTAGATTCCAGAAAGATACATAAATCAAAGCTATAAGATCATTCAAGTATCTTGTCCCCTTAAACGAAAGCAAAAGAATATCCTCTTGAACACATGATAGCAAGAGTAAAGTCCCAAGTGGCGAAAATAGTTAGTGAGTATGCGAGAAACATGATTTAAAGAATATTGTGAAAGTAATAAACCAACCAATTAACGAGTGTCACATGTCATAGAATTATCTAGAATCAAAAAGCTGTTTCAAGTCCTTCAACAGCAAAAGCGACACATTTCCTGAAACAGGAAAAGACCAAAAATCCCATGGGCTTAGGATATCTATAAATAACCCTGATAATCGTAAAAAAAGCAAGTGAAATTAGAAACCTAACCAAATTCTTGCTCTTCAATCTCTAACGTTTACTTGGTGGCAATTCTCATCATAAGTATCTCTTAAAATGCTCCGGTGACTGAAGAGGCTTAGAAGTGTGACTAGGTGGCACGGATTTGTTGACTTCAAGTTTCGAGGTCAACAAATTTCAACTTCGAATGGGTGCAAAGAAACTACGTGGAAGACAGGGCAGGCTTGTAGTTAAGAGAAGGATTGAAAATGAATTGTAAGGAATCTTAAGCAAGCCCTCTGTGTACTTTTGGCATATATGAAATAAAAGAAAATAGCGAATCATTCTTTACTTTCTTTTTCTTATGGCACTATATCTTTTACATGCGGAAATATATTCATAATTGAAAGTTAAGTGATTTCTAGGCAAACTATACAGGAACTTTGCTTTCGTTTTCTCATAAAATAGGCATCTTTAACACTTGTGTATTGTAGTTAATAGTATTTAATTTTGCAATTAAATTTTTATAGACGTATATATGAATACAAAAGAAAATTATTATCACAAAAGAAGTAAAATGCTAACCAACGTGAGAAGCCTGTGATCCATTTCCAGGCGCTGCAGATGCTGAATCTTGAAGCTTCAAATTATTTGCCTACATACAACATTGCGATGCAGAATTAGAGTTCACAGTATTTTGTTTCTTAAAGCTTTAAATCCCTCTACTAATGCGTTAATTAACGAAATAAAAAGATTTTAAAAAAAATCTGGCTTCCATATCGAGGAAGGAAATTGGGAATTCATAATTATCAAGGAAAAGGTACAAGTGGAAAGCACGAGGTATAAATTGCCGAAGCACTATAAATGACGTAATAAAAGAAGAATACCCGGGTCAAAGCGACGGCGGCGCACGCCAACTCGAGTCGGCTTTTAAGGAAGACCTGGTACTCCTCGGAATCAGCCGGAATATTCGTAGGTGGTGGGACCCCCGAACCCGCCGCCGTCTTTCGATTATTGCTATGATTACTTTTGATATTAAAGTCGACGTCGTTTGATGTGGTGGCAGAACGCGACGGCGGAGGATTCGATCCCTTATCCATTGCAAGTTGTTGCGATGAGGAATCATCAAGTGCGGATGCCTCTTGGAGAAAGCGCTGGAAAGCCCATTCNNNGGAGAAAGCGCTGGAAAGCCCATTCGGAAGAGCTCCGATTCATCATCATCTTCTTGTTATTCGACGAGGCGGACCTCGCCGGAGTAGTGGCGGAGGATGATGACTCCTCATGCTCCTCCTTCGCCGCGTCTTGCCGAATCGTCGGCGGCGGCGGAGGTGACCAGAAGTGATCCGCTAGTTCATCCACTGAAAACACCCTATCCATGTCTAACTCGTACAGAAAGAAATCAGAATTATGTGGATAGTGTTATGGATAAGAATAAAACATACAGAAACTGTACAGTTGGCATCACGCGTATGGCTACTTTTTTTTTTGGTGTTTTTGTCTTTTTCCAATGATAACATGCCAAGTGTCCATTCGTACGAATCTTGTGAAAAAATTTCTGTTGCATTGTTGTATGGATAAAGTAGGGTAAAAAAAAAAAAGAGCTTCCAAAATTGGGATGACTAGGATATTGTATTGCCTTTTTGGAGTCATTTATAATGGACTGCTATATGGTCAGGGTCACGTGGGCCCCCAGCCATTAAGGAGCGCAATCAAAATAATGAGAAATTATAATAATTCAGGT